AGGCAGGGTTAGTGCTCTTTTGTGAGTATACACTTGTCGGATTGGTGGCCGCTCAGTAGTAACCTGTATGGGAGAGGAAGGTGAAGGAACGGGAACCGAAGGAGGGGCATCTGCCATTGGAACAGGAACCACGGGGAGGGGATCCTCAACAGGAACAGGAAGAGGGACCACGGGGGAAGGAGGAGGGACCTCAATACTCAAGAAAAATGGGACTGATTTAAAGAAAGTGACATCCGAACACACAAATGACTTCTGAGAGGTAGGGTTATAACATTTATACCCTTTTAAGTCTTGAAATATCCAAGGAAGATGCATTTAGTAGCACGTGCATCTAACTTGTCTAAACCAGGCCCCAAATTTTGAACAAAACAAATGCATCCAAAGACTCTTGGAACAAGAGGAAATGGAGATAAAGTGGGAAACAAAACTGAGAAGGGGGATTAACTTCCAAGGATAGACATGGGCATCCGATTGATGAGGAAACATGAGGTTAGGACAGCATCACTCCAAAAACGCTTTGGAACATTCTTATTAAGCATAATGGACTGAGCAATTTCAAGTAGATGTTGGTTTTTGCGTTCAGCCACACCGTTTTGTTGTGGGGTGTAGAAACAAGAAGTTTGAGGAATTATTCCATGGTGCTCTAAGTATTGCTGAAATGGTGTTGAGGTGTACTCTTTTGCATTATTGGAGCGAAGAATTTTAATATGAATTCCAAATTGATTACGAATTTCAGCATAAATTTTTTTAAAAATGGAGAACAATTCACTGCAATCTTTCATAAGATATAGCCATGTCATCCTTGAAAAGTCATCAACAAAAATTACAAAATACTTATAACCATTGTAGGACACTACTCTATTTGGACCCCAAACATCATAATGAACTAAAGAAAAATGACTCAAGACACGACTATCAACTCTTGGACTAAAAGAGACTCTATGGTGTTTCCCAAGCTAACACGATTCACAATCCGACGATGAAAGATAACTTAAGGACGGAACCAGCAACTTTAGAGCCTTGAGATATGGATGACCAAGTCTGTAGCGCCATTGGAGAGGAGTAAGAGACGACTGAAATGCTACTAGCTGGCCACCATCATCAAGGTAATACAATCCACCTGCCTCATTCCCTCCACCAATCTTCATCCCCGTCTTGAGATCCTGAAACACACAAGAAGAGGGATAAAAGGTTATAAAACAATTAAGTGACTTGGTTAATCTACTAACAGATAGAAGGTTAAATGGGAACTTGGGAACATATAAAACAGATGATAGAGATAAGGAGGTAAGATAAACATCACCAACACCACAAATGGGAGATGTAGAACCATTAGCAAGGGTAACTGTTTGGGATGTAGAAGACTAAGAAAGAGAAGAAAACACGTTTGAAGTCCCAGACATATGATCCGAGGCTCTAGAGTCAATGATCGAGTGTGAAGGTTTGGAAGCCAAGCAAGTCATACCTGAATGGGCAAGAGTAGTTGTGTTCTACTGAGAGGATGTCTGAAGGAACTTCTCATATACCTCACGTGGTACACTCACCATCTCCTTCCCAGAAGCACTAGTAGATGTGGAGGGAGTCTGATCAGTTTGTTGATTTCCACTAACTGTACCACTACCACTAGTCACAGCATGATTAGCCCAAGTGTTGGGTGGACCATGTAAATCATAGCAGAAATTAACAGTGTGCCCCTCTAATCCACAGTATGTGCATTTTCTAGGTGCATTACTCCTTCCTCTACCACGACCTCCCCCTAACTCTCGACCACCACTGCGGCCACTAGAACAATTAAACATAGAACCACCTCGGTTTCCTGGAAACCCACGGCCACCACCTCCACCTCTATTTTCGCGACCTCCCCCTCTAGTCACCACAAAACCAGATCTGTCTAGGAGAGAAGAAGACTCTGTAAACTCAACAGATGTCCTCCGAAGGCGGGCAAACACTTCTTCAAGTGAGGGAAGAGCTGACCCCACCAATATTTGTGCCCGAACAGGTTCATATTCAACCTTCAGACCCATTAGGAACCTTGTCACATCAAGTTGCTCTCATTGTTGTTGTTGAACCTGAACATACGGAGTCGGAGGATGATATACATTAAGCTCATTTCTGATATTCCTCATGCTTGCATAGTATTCCTCCAAGCTTTGGTTACCTTGCTTCAGATTAAAGTACTCTTGGTACAACTGATATGCCCTAGTAGTATTATCTTGGCCAGAGTAAAGTTTCTTAGCATGGTCCCAGATTTCTTTAGTTGTATCTAGGAACATAAAATTCACACTGATTTTAGGTTCCATGCTATTCCACAATCAGGTCATGATTTGTGCATCCTTCTGTTCCCAATCACTGAACCCTAGAGAATCAGAGGAGGGTTTCTCCTCTCTCACATGTTTTACCTTTTTCTTGGCCTTTAAAAACACCTCCACATATTTGGCCCACGGCACATAATTCTCACCATTCAACTTAATATATGTCATTTGAACATTTAGGTAATCTGTAGAAATCATAACACCTGTTTTACTATCATTCCCATCTCCAATTGATGCCATCTTAACTAATTCGCCTCACTTAACAAAAAAAAAATACTGTTATAAACAAAGTATTCACCTTCAACTATTCAGCACAACTCCATGCACCACCACAAAACCCCAACTCACTTTCAGCACCACCGACTTCTTCAAATACACATCACACACCTAATACAAGAGCTGTAATCAATCAGCCATCACATCAAACACCTATACTGCACACTACAAAACCAACCTGTACTCGACTAAACACTTCTCCACCCGAACCTGCTCTCTTCGTACCATCGAATAGAGAGCTTCCTACCAATCACCACAAACAACCACCACACCACAAACCGGAGGCATGAAGGCCTCCTACAAAGAAAAACGATCACTCCTTTGCAGCCTTTCCCTTAATCTCCTAGTGGTTCTTGAGAAATCTGTGAAACCCTAGAGAAAAGGATGAAAAAAGAAAAAAAAAACTGGGTAAATCAGAAAAAAAAAATGAGCAGATCTGAACTTGTTATATTCGCTCTGATACTATATAAAAAACAATCTTATTCAGTTCAGATTTGAAGTATGAAGAAGAAGAAGAAGAAGAAGAAGAAGAAGAAGGAGAAGAAGGAGAAGAAGAAGAAGAAAAGAAGGGTTCGGCAGTAAAGGAAAAGTTAATCACTCTAGCCGACCCACTTTGTATTTAGAAAAAGACAGTATTGTCCCTAATAAGTGATGGGACATATAACTTAAACCTGAATAAAGAAGACCTTTCACTTTCAACTAGATAAACCAAAAGACTAAAATACCCCTGTACTGTCGACACTAACAGCATCAAACCCTGGTACAACTAATTCCCATTAGCACTTTGTCTAGCTAGATTATCTGCCAGCCCATTGGCCAATACTGGAGCTCATTTATAGATAGATCTCAGTTCTTCTGTCAAGCCTTCAATTTCCCTCACCTCACTGACCACTGTATATTTATATTCCATGAACCTGTCCTGTTTTTGCATAACCAGCCCACCACTGTACAAATCCCCTTCCACTCTAAGTACAGGACCACAGTCATACTTTTTTGGAAACCACCAGAGGTAAATAGGCTGAAATTAAATTTTGATGGTAGCTCTTTTGGCAATCCAGGAAGGGCAGGCATAGGAGGAGAGTTATCAGGAACCATCAAGGATTATGACCCTGCTGCAAGGTTTAAAAATAGCCCCACAGCTAGAAGTTAGAGAATTGGAAGTGGAAGGAGATGCTCTTTTGGTGATTTCTTGGGCAAAGAAAATACAGTCAGCACCCTGGAAATACAGGTTTGCATTCAGGGAGATTAATCATCTTGCAAGAAAGGTTAATGCAAAGTTTGAATGGGTAAGAAGAACAGCAAACGGAATGGCAGATGCTTTAGCAAAACAGGGGGCAGATAGACCAACCTTATTTTGGGTAAAGCTGTAACTGATGCAGTGAAAAAGAAACTAGATGGCCTATGTAGTTGAAAGCTTTTGCTTCCTTGTAATTTGGGCAACTCTTCAGTAAAACAATTGTAAACTTACTTCATTTTAATAAATAAAGTTTATTTGCTGATCAAAAAATAATCTCAAGGGTTACTCACCCTCCTTACAGTCCCATTACTATTAGTAAAATTGTGATCTACCATTTGTAGTAATTTCGTGTTTCTTTACATTAAGTTAGTTTTAGTTGGATTAGGAATGCATTATTAGAGTTACTTTAAGAGTTAAGAGTCCTTATTTGAGTGTCCTTATGGGTTACCCATGGGTTTGTTTTGTTTTAAAGCACTGAAAGTTGTCTTGGGTCAACTTTTGAGTTCAAATTGGAGCCTGAAGGGACATCCGAGTTCTTATGATGAGTTCATAAATAGAGTAAATAAAGTTTGGTTTAGTGAATTACGGTTGTTTCCAGGAATTTTTTTTTTCTTTTTCTTCTCTCTCAACTATTTATTCTCCAAGTGGCTGTCTCTTTGTTGTTTGTCATTACAGCAAGAGCTCTTATCTTTATTTCTAATTTTGGTTCATTCTTTTGTGGATAACAAGCTGTCCACATGCTTCTCCATCCCTATTCTTCATCCTGAATCACCCAAAGCCCCTCCTTCACCCCAAAAAGCCCACCACTAAATTTGTAGAAACCTCACCTTATTCTACATCACCTGTTTGTACATCCAAATAGCCAGATGAAAGAACAAAATTGTACACAAGACAGATGCTTCACATGGAAGAATGCATTCATCATGTAAAAAAAGTGCAGACATATGGACAATGACATACAAATATACACCTCTATGAGATTTCTTGTTATTGCTTCTTTAAAGAAAGAAAGGAAATGAAAGAAAACCCTGCAGACATAGTGACCAATAGCATTCATACAAAAGCATGTTCCTACAACATATTTACTAAAGAAAAGATTACAAAAACAATTTCCATAAATAGGTAATATCGAAGGGTTAAGGAATATTTGAAGGTAACTGCAAGAAAGACTGTACCCCAGTAAAGCATCAAACCAAACATATATAGTCTGCTTATTATCATTAGGTACAGGAATGCCCCAATCCACAGATGCCCGGGAAATGGAGAAATCTCTCAGACCACTTCTAACCCAACTTTGCACCTGAAGAACTGTTTGCATCAGAAAAGAAACCTTGGAAGAGAATAGTTTCTAAGGATGCATTTGCATTCATATATGCATGGAAGATATTAATTAAGTTCAGACAAAAATGATTTCTGTGGATGAATTAATGTTCAGAACATATCATCATGCCATAGCTAGAGAAGGTTTTCAGCTTTCTTGTTAATAAAGTAAAAAGACAATTTCATTTCGAGGGGAACAGTCAGGTTTCTTTGAATCTATCAAGTGAAGTCCAACCTTTTTGGGATGGGACAACTATTTTACCCTGTACCTTCTTTTAGTGGGTAAACCCCACTCCCCAATTCAAGGTGTCAAATTTCAACAATTTCTAGGGCTAATGTTTTCTTGCCCTTCCTCTATCAGGTCTCTGAAAATGGCAGTGTTAGTGACAAATCACTCTCTAGAAGAATTTTTTTCCTTTTAAACAGTTACACAATTGATCCTCCAAACTATTGAAACTTCTAACTTTAATAACAAAAACTCTGTCAAATTTTCATAAGTTTTCAAAAACATCTTCTATTTGAGGAGAACAATACCAAGATGGCTTCACTTCAGACAAAATTCCAAAGCCTCATCCTGATTATAGATAGATTCCAGATAAAAATTAATCAAGAGAAAAGGAAAGGAAATGGAAAATATGCCTTCATTTGTTATATGCATCTTGTAAAGGTTATTGAAAGAAAGAGCAAGATTTTGAAAAAAGATTAAGATTTTACATGTATAATTATCAAATACAAAATGCATTGTCTATATGATACAAAAAAATGATTCAAGGACTTATGATTTGCCAGAAAGCATGATTCTTGATAGGGCACAATGGTGGGACAGGATTCATGTTGATAGCACCAATTACTTCAGATTAAGACTGGGTTGAGTTGAGTAGAATAAACGTTTTGGCATGACAAACAGAATAAGGTAGTATCAAAAAATTTAGTTAGTATTTTCTCATTATGGCCTAAAAAGAACATAGAAGCTTGTTTATTAAAACCTTGGACAAGACTCAACAAAACAAGCTCATAGATTATGGCATGTAATGGTTGTGAATGCATTATACTTATTCAAAACTGTTAATGGAAGCAGATCAAAAATATATAGCCAGGTTATTATAATTTATGAAGAAGATATAGAAAAAAAAAATATTGGAACTTGGTATCAGACTTAAGAGTAAATTATAGACAAGGAAATTTATCCTTGGCTGTATGCAAGTTGAAGTTAATCTAGCATCATAGAATGCTAACCATCTAAAGGAGTTTGCTCAAAAGTCTATTATGAAGTGGCCTAGATCATCAAGGTAAACTTCGATGGTAAATTTTTCTCAAAAACAAATTCAAATAAGCAGACCATGAGGTCAACCTTGAAAGGCCTGACTCATAAGATATGGATCTATCAACCATATAGCAGAATTAAATATTGGCTCAATATTTCAGTTTCTGCAATAATTATAATGAGTGATGATGCTACCTAGATCTTATAGAATATAGTCCCAAAATAAAAATAAAAAAGGCCATTACCCAATGTTGGTCCTAGTTATCTGGGGTCTTGGGAGGGGTGGACTGGATACAGTCCTAACCTCTGGCATTTTTTGCACAAAGTTGCCACTCAGACTCGAAGCCATGTTCCTTTTTTTATCAGCAACACAAAATTTTTATTAAAATTAAAAGGGAAAGAAATTGCAACAAGAGGTTGTTAAAACTAAAACCCAATACAATAAGAATCCCATCACCCTGTTAAAATTGGGCCCAGGAGTTTCCCATTAAGAAATTACTCGAACCCGTATTCTCATGCTTGACAGCCCAAGATTTCACCATAACACCAAGTAATGGACCTTAATATAACCCCAAAATAAAACTCATAATTTCTCTTTTAGCAGTTACTCTAGAACTTTAAATTGAAAAAACACAAAATATAATATATATATAAAAGGTGGAACCTGCAGCCTCACCTCATTCAAGCGAAAAGAAGGCTGTACGAAGTCTGGGTTGTGTGCCAAAACCTCTTCCAATGACTTTTGATACTTTGACAAAGCAAAAAAATAATTGTCCTCCTTTCGTTGAACACAAGGTTTGAGGTGTATTGGGCAACAGTTGTTATCAAGTAGTTCCTTCTCATCCTAACAGTTTTAACCAGAGCAAAGGAAAATTGTAAATAATGATGATGATTACCACAATGCAAATATAAACAAAACTCCATCCTCCAATAAAAATAATGAAGTAGATTACCAAGTTCTTGTAATTATAAAAAGTTAATTTCTTTGAAAATAACTAGAAACAGTTAAAGGGATGCACGATGAAATGATAAAAATGAGTAGAGAGTGCATGAAAATGCAACTATCAATGGCAGATTTACCATAAAGGCAGTTATAACCAAGTACATCTCAGCACTTATAGAAGGCAGACAAGAGGTGAAACTCGACACTTGTTATCAATATATGAAATTCAGTATTTGATTAGCCCCCTACAAATGATATCTCCATAAATATCCAACTAATTCGATAGTTTTCTTACCATTTTTATTCGATGGTTTTTTTCTTACCTACCAATCCAAAACATTCTTCCACACAACTCAAAAGTTTCATAGAAAAATGATTCAGGAAGAGAAAAAAGACAGTTAAAATCATTGATGAGGTCAACATCTCTTTTTCCTTAGCAGAATTCCTAAATAGAATGCATTGAATGATGGGTTCACCCTCGCATGAACTTCTATTCTATGCTAGATCATCAGCATGGTCATGAAATGCATTTGGATTCAAGAGATTGATGAATCGCAATTAAAATTCTTATGTTCAATTAAAAAGTACCATCCACCTTATACTCCTCACAGTTGATACAATAAAGGCCCTCGTAATCAGCTCGGTAAATGTCACCATTGCCGAGGACTCTAGAGTAAAATTCCTTGACAATTGCTTCATGACTTGGATCAGTTGTTCGAATGAACTTGTCATAAGATACGTCTAGCTACAACCAAAAGGAAATAAATCATACTTCCATTGTATACTGGCATAGAAGTTGAGCTTTAACCTGTGCTTGGTTTGAAGAAAAGGTAAGGAAGGGAAAGGTAGGGAAACCTAATACAAACCTTGTAGAGGTTTCCCTACCTTTTTCCTTCAAACCAAACACAGCCTTAAAAAATGATGTGAATTGAGACAAAAGTTTCTATAGTAGGAGATGTACATCCTTCCAAAGCATCTTGTAAGCATGAGAAATGGTATCACAGTGTTCACTTGGGCTGGCACCACAGGCAGTGGCGGCAGTAGCAATTTTCTCACCGTGTTCATCCGTGCCAGTGACAAATATAACCTTCTTCCCCAACAGTCTCTGGCATAAGAAATCAAAATAAAATAAAATAAACAAAATAGATCTTGTACACAGTGAATGCAGAAATTATCAAAATTTGGAGTTATCAGCATTTTTTATGGGTTTTGTATTCATTTTATCCGCTTTCGTAAGCAGGTTAAGTGAAAATATTGGATATCTATGTTTATACCTCATAGTGATGCTATTAAATTCAAATGAGTTAAGAACTAAGAAATTACTCATGGAGCATATACTCCCAATTGAATCCATGTTAAGTCCACATTCATTTTGCTCCAGATATAAATGAGAGAATTTCAAAGAGAATACCCAAAATGAAAGCTAATTTGGAAAAAGAGAACATTTTACAAACTTAAAGCTACAATCATACCATGTTTCAAAAGAAAGAACTTCATATTATTCCATCCTAAGAATCAAAGAAGTAGTTAAACAACGCTAATCATATTATTCCATCTATAAGCTTCAATCCACACTAATATAGTTATAAATATAAAAAACAATGTATTCAAATGAAGAAATGTTAAAGTTCTTTTCCTTCTGTCTTCTTAATTAATAACTGCTTCAGTGAGATACTATGATTTGCAATAACTCTTTACAATCATCGATTTCATTCCAATCTGTATTTGAAAATGCTACCACATTTGAACTAAACAAGGACTACCATAGAAACATTTGTGACAGACACAATCCAAACCAACAAACTTCCTCTTTATGGGAAGGAGGACCAAAAGTACCTGAAATCGAGCAATTGCATCAGCAGCGATGGTGGTATAAGCGCTTCCCATGTGGGGAGGAGCGTTTACGTAGTAAAGTGGGGTGGTGAGAACGAAAGGTTCAATAGTAATGGATTCTTCTCCACCACTCTGGCTCTGAAGATGGCTTCTACAACTGCAAAACATTACTGACTTGGATGATGGCGAAGAAAATGGACTTCGATGGAAATGGAGCCGATTTCTGAGATGTTTGCCTTTAGAATTCATAGAAGATAAAGGAGAGAATAACCAGACACCATTCTGCAACGAGAAGAGTACTCTCCCCGCCATTTTTTTCACCTGTTCAATTTGGTAGATTTCTCTCCCTCTCACAGTATCATTCACTTAGAACCAAGGTTCTAAAAGGCTAAAGGCGGATGGGAGGCAAGGTGTAAGCCCCAAATTTAAAAAAATAAAAATAAAAAATTATGGACATATCCATAAATAATGATAACATTAAAAAACAAATAACTGAAATTTTATGTAACTATGTATGGTTTATTTAATATATTAAAGGTCTAATAACAGGACTTGTTGATTGTTCCTGTGGTTGAAGACTTGAATTTGAGTTCCTATGCAACACAAAGACAAACAAAAAAAATACAGTGTAAGGCAAGTAGGCAACAAAAAAATAAAGCAAAGTCCTTTTCATTTTGATAAAACAGAATTCAGATGATAAAATTCATGGAAAGATGCTACCATAATAATAAAGTAAAATACAGAGATGACAAAACAGAATTTTTTTTTGTTGAAGAAATATAATCAATTAAATGGAAAAATGGTATTTGCTATTCATGATTAATTGATCAGTTCACTAATCACTATTCAAAAAACAAAGAAAATGAGCAGTTGAACCAATCAACTCTCATGCAAGCCCGGGGATCAGGGAGGTGAAGAGATCCGTTTATGCAATGAATTTCCATGTTTACAACCAAGCTAATATAGGGGACTTTGCAACAAGTGAAATCTATCGAAACACAAATAGAATTTCCATGTTTACAACCAAGCTAATATAGGGGGCTTTGTAACAAGTGAAATATCAAAACACAAATAAATAGAATTTCCATGTTTACAACCAAGCTAATATAGGGGACTTTGTAACAAGTGAAATCTATCAAAACATAAATAGAATTTCCATGTTTTCAACCAAGCTAATATAGGGAACTTCGTAGCGAGTGAAATCTATCAAAACACAAATAGAATTTCCATGTTTACTACCACTTTATTCTCCAGTCAATCAAAGATATTGAAATTGACCATATAAATAGACAACAAAACAGAACCAATGTTCCAAATTATGATAATAAAAATAAACGACCAAAAGAAATTTAAAAATAAAAGGAAAAAATCTTGAAATGACAAGGAACATGGATAGAAACGGAGAAATGGTTGGATAAATCAAACGTTAAGCAAGCATAACATGTTAAGAAGACAAAGTGAAGTTCACAAGCAGGAACTATCCTTCTCTTCACTTTTCATAGAATTTTCTACAAAATAGAAGAATCCATTTCCAACCTATACTGAAAAGAAAAGGCAGAAACATATCAAATTTGTCCATAGAAACTTCAAACAATAGTGCAACACAAATCCAAACCAGAGCCAACTACCGTAGAAGAAAAACATCGTAACCAATGATTTGTGTTTGACATCGTATCCTGTTGGTTCCAAAAACTAAACGATATTTGGGGGAGGGGGGTCTCACATTCAAGAAGTTCGTAATCCAACTTTAATCTTTGAAAGTTGAAAATAAATCACAGCCAGTGCTAGTGTTCGCCAATCTGAAGAAGAATAAGAAGAATTAGGACTCACCAGTTCGTTGTAATCACCAACAGCAGTTCAGACTTCGAGCTTTCTTTCTTTGATACAATGGAAGAGAGCTTAACAGAGGCGCGACATAGCCCTCCCCGCCATATCCAAGAAAGCTATGAATCTTAAATCACAGGGAACCTCATGGAGGTAGCTCTCCTCTTGAAGTTGTCCTTTGTTCGTCAACCAGTCAGTGGCGGAGTTCCCTTCCCGCTTCCCGGTGGACGTGAACCAACTTGATCCTTTTGAGGAAGCCTTTGAGCTATTCGTTGACACTCTTCGACCATCGAACAGAGCTTTTATCATCAGGGAATCTCCTTCAATCGTTATGTAGGCATTCTGAACCTGAGCTGCTGAGCAGCTAGCTTGTGGGCCTGGGCCTGGGCCTGGGCCTCTACAGAAGCAGTAGACAACATTTTACACTGTTTCGAGTTCAATCTTTGGGCCAGGCCTATCCAAATTTTGGCAAAAGCTCAACCGGGCCCAGCACATGAACAGGTTTACTCTTTTAAGGCTGATGGAGCAACTTGGGGTCTATCCGTTTCCTCTCTAATTCTTATCAGGAATCTTGCAACTTTAAGAGGAAAAGGGTTGCTCATTTTTTCTTCTCTTAAAGGAAAATCTTATATTTTTTTTGTTTTGTTTTTCAATGATACTCCCAACACCCAAAACACTTCTTCCTCCTTATAACTAACGGGCCTCATATGCAATAATAATAATTAATACTTACAAACTATTATTAATTAATTAATAATAGTCATTAATTAGTATTTATTATTAACTATTAATTATTAAGAATTATTACAATTAATTATTCAGAATTGAAGATTATTATCTAATAATAATTATTAGTTCACAAATACTAATTATTATAATAATTAGTATTAGTTATAACATAAATTTTAATTAATTATTAATTATTAACTATTAGTTTTTAATAATTATTAATTAGTATTATTTAATAATTATTTATTATTTATTAATATTAATTATTATTTATTAAAAATAATTATTAATTATTACAATCATTATATTAAATATTAATTAATTATTAATCATTATAAAATTTTTAATATTATTTCTTTATTTAATTACAACAAAAATAATAATTAATTATTATTATTATTATTATTAATTATTAATTATAATAATTAGTATTAGTAATAAATTAATTATTAGTTGTTAATTAATTATAAACTATTATATTAATTAATAATTATTATTATAATTAATTAATAATTAACACAAATTATTTCTTAATAAATAATAATTTTTATTAATTAATTATTAATCATTATAATAATTTTTAATTATTTTTTATTGGATTATATAGACAAACAAAAGATTTCATACTGGGGTTAAAATGGATATTTGACAATTTTCAAAATTCAGAACAACATTCTTTGCATTTAGAGTTCAAAGGAAAGAAAAGTTCACCAATACCAATATACCTCTCAATGTAAGTATTGCACTTTCAAATGTCAACTGTGAGAGCAAACAAACAAGCCCTTAATCTCTTGTAGATTATACATTTTATTTTTAAAAGTTTTTTCATTTCTATTTTTTCAAAGGTACCACATTTTATAGTTAACTCTTTCCTATAGCAAAGGAATTTTCAATTCATTTTTTTCAGCATTTTATCCCACCAAATTAATGGGTTATTTAGTTCATGGGAATAAGGTCTATAATTAGAATCCATTCGTTTGGGCAGAATTAGAATCCCACTCCCATTACATTTTCCATTTGAGAGAATGGTCATTCCCTCCCCCTCCCTTGGGAATGATAATGCCATTCTCGCATATATCCAATTCCTATCTAAACCAACCCGGAAAGGGGAATAGACCATTCTAATTCCAATTCTCGTTCTACCTGCAAACCAAATGGACCCTATTGCCAATCTAATTGTCCATCCATACATTTTATTGATTTCCATTTCCAGTTTTACAAATTAATTCCATTTTTTTATTTTTTCTAGGTCCATGAAGACAATTTAGGGGCCCTAAGACCAAATTTTGGTCTTTTTGCACGGTCAGTATACATATTTTTTTATTAATTAGTCGAAATTATGATTCATGGCTTCTGATGGTGCGTAATCCGGACACTCCTAGCTGGCACTTACGTGGCTCCTGTAAGGTACCTGAGATGGAGAAGAAGAAGAATCCCTGGGGGCTTGCCCGGCGGGAACACTCTGATGCTTAAGTTAGTATTCTGTAGGAGAAGCAAGGAGAAGATGAAGGCTAAGAGTGCAAATAGCGCGAGAGTAGAAGATGATACCTCTGTCCCTTGATATTAGCTCCTTATAACAGAAATCCGTTGTATCCGGTCCACTGGCCTCTAACAAGAAAGGTATAACCGCCACTCTCAGTCTGTCGTAGCCGTTACTGGCTGGGCTGAGGTGGCACGCGCGGGGCCGTCACCGCAGGGTACGTGCCTGTCAGGTGTAAGGCACCCTCTAAAGGTGGCAGGCACGATGCTGTCTGATGAGGGATATGGTTGTTGCGCCTAGATTTGTCGGGTACGATGGTCGGGCAGGAGATCCTCCTGCGATGTGCCGAGCTACCCTTCTGCGAGTTACCCTGTGCCGGGCTATCTTATAAGCGACGAGCTGCCTGTGGCAAGCTAGGCCGAGCTGTCTACCCCGAGGTGAAGACACCTCGGGGTATCTATAAGCGGATCGGTGTGTTCCTGTCTGGGAGTGGCCTAAGGTCCACTAGGAGGAGCTCGGATATTAGGAGAGGTCAGTGGATCGGTGTGTTCCTGTCTGGGAGTGGCCTAAGGTCCACTAGGAGGAGCTCGGATATTAGGAGAGGTCAGGGGGCTCCGAGCTCGGAGGCAGCTTGGGGTACCTTAGCCCCGGGGAGGAGGTGCGGGCTAGGTGGCTCCCGGTGAGTAGTCTATCCCGCCGATTTGCTAGACTGAACTCGGTGTGACTTTCCCACCAAATTGCGGTTGTGCCTACTGTGCTGTCACACTGAGTCATCGCTTAAGCAAGGTCACGCCCATGTGTACCCGTGCTACGAGGTCGGGCCAAATCGTCCTCCATCAGCTTCTATCATAGTCCATCTTATCTTCAAATCCTTTAATTATAAAGTGTTTTCCATTAATTGTTTTAGTCATAAACATAATCTACCAATTATTAATCTTACTAATCAATTTTACATAATATTATACTATATTATCAATAACTGACATATACCATAGATTCTAGCTTTCACATAAATATATTATTTTGTTAGTCAATCCATAATTGTTGAAAAAAGGATGTAACTAAGTACTGACCCTTACAAACCCATTTTAATTGAAAATTTTCTCACCTCCCCTACCTTGAGTTCTTACACTAGTAATGAAATTTGTTGAATTTACAAGATCCAAACTTGATTCCAAATCGATGCTAATAATTGATTAAGATCTTCAATTCACTTTCAAATAGTTGAATGTGGTTGAAAAGGATTTTCAATTTATGTAACCTAACAAAATGAGAAATGTATGATGGACTAGACGATCAATACACTTGTTTCTAATCTCTTTTATTTTTTTTATTTTGCTTACTTTTTTTACCAAACTTGTATTATTTTATATATCAATAATTAATATCCATTTTCGTGTGGAGTGATAGAGCGTAATTGGATTTTACTTTTTATTTCTTGGCATTGTAAACTAGGTTCAAAAAGACATTAGGGCATTAAGTTATGGGAAGTAGCATGCAAGGGTCAATGCGTATCTCATACCCCCATGGTGATTGGTGACCCCCTAGACTATAGGCAATTGTGATTATATTGCGGGCATAAAGCCATCATTCGGGTGTTAGAAACACATCGCCATCCAAGCCATCTATTTTTCTCTTGTCCTTAAAAGTTGGTAAACCACCTATTACCTATATGCACGGATTCATATGGTTCTTACTACTATTTATTATTGATTATCTTGTTAATTATTAGAGAAATATCACGTAAAATGATTGCTATTTCTTTACTCGTGCAATCCAATAATACCAAGATTATGTAAGGGGTGGTCGAACAAGGCATCCAAGGTAAGGATGCAAACAGATCAGATTGGATTCGAATCGATGTATATTCGAATCTAACCTGATAATACAAATCTTAGGTCCTACAAGATCCGAATATCCAATTGGATCTAACAAACATTGATTCAAATCTGAATCTAGTAAGGATGTTGGATATCTAAATCTTATCCAATTCAATTTAATTTCTGAAAAAATTTAAAAAATTATTAAAAGAAAAGTACTTTTTCAACTATTTTCATCATATATCTACATGTCTTTTTTATATAAAAAAAATAAAAAATGCAACATGAAAATATTTATAAATAAATAAATAACATATATAGGATATCATGGTTCTTTCAAATCGGATAGGGGGTGATTTGAATTTTAATCATATCCTATTGTCCGATTCAAAAATCCAAAAGGGGATATCTAAATCCGACAAAATATGATCATATTTGAAATCAGATTAGGTCATGATTCGCTCCATTTATATCCCTACTCCAAAGACAAGCAATTGATGAATTGAAATGTAAAATTGCAAATATACACTCAATTTCTACCATGAGCATTAATACATATATAACCATATGCAACAATATTATATCAACAAAATCTAGCAAGATAAATTAGTATAGACATAAGAACAAAGAAGTAATGACTACACATGCAATAATCAACCTCAAAAAAGCAACAACATCGCAACAATGAGTGTAAATACTATAACTTATATCATGATGGAAAATAAAGAATTGTCCAACTTTTCATGGTTTGTTTATAAGTATGGAAAAGAAAAATCATAGGCACACTTATAAGTGGTTGCATAGTTAATTTTAAAGAAAAATCCCAAAAGAGGGAAAAATGTTGTAATGTTAACAAAATAACTTAGATTGCAACCACAAGGAGACATTGCCACAAATAGAAGTACAACCATTGACTATAGAGCATACCCCAACAAAATGAACAATTGGAATAAATTTTGCACATAAACATTCAAGACCCATGTATATATAGGCAAGAATAATACCCTATAATAAAACGATATCATTGTAATGTTCTATCAGTCATTGCAATGTCATCATCAATACAAACTCTGAATTTGTAAAGCAATAATGGATATTCGTCAACAATAGCAAAAACAAACAATGATATCAATATCACTGGCTCAAGCCACAAACATAGTATCAATTTATTTAATAACATAGATAATGAATACTTTTAGAAAATTATTGCAAGAAAAAAGGCCAAAAGATTCAAAAATTAGCTTAAAATTTGAACAATAATTACCCATA